TGTTACTGGCTCTATTACATTGTAATATGTGTTCATATACTCCCTCAACTTACTGAAACACAAAGAACCAATAACGCCTCTACTGAGGCTCAAACTTACAACCTTCCAAATGGAAGTCCAACCCGGATACCATTAGACCACATAGTCCTGATTTGCATTGATATACTTTGAAATACTTATTTAAAAAGAATCATTGGGCATTATCCCATTCGCGCAAAGCGCGTAGAAAAACTTATATATATATATATATATATATATATATATATATATATATATATATATATATATATATACACACTAATAAGAGAGCCCAAGAGAGTTGGGCCTATAATTGGTAGAAAAAATGGCGGTCAAATTTTTTAATCAAATGAATGGCTCATATTTTAATTTTTCCTTAAGATTTTCTAATTTATCCTTAATGAATATGATTATCCGTTAACTTTTTCGTTAAATATTATCTTTTCCGTTAATTTCTATTAGTTCACCGTTAACTTACTCATTGATTTCAATATGAAAGGTCTTAGGTTCGAACCACATCCCAATCAAAGTTGGCATAATTAGTACTCTATTTTACTATTATTAAATTATAAAATAATAATTTAGTAGGTACAACAAAAAATAATAAATGATATTCATATAAATACTTGAATATTTTGATTTTTATTCTTTTTATGTTTATATTCATAATATATATATATATATATATATATATATATATATATATATATATATATATATATATATATATATAACAGGCTACTCCGAATAGTGAACTACTACGGTTCACAATCCCAATTTAGTATTGTAAATAATAATTCTTTTGCTTGATTTCTAGTAGTATATATAATTTTTTTATCTATGTTCACACGAGTAGCTCAACTGGTCATAGGGGTGAAGTTTGGTAAGAATATAATTTTATTTATATACTATTAATATTATATTTTATTTTTTTAAAAAAGTTTTATGCAACTAGTAATTTGCGAAGAGTTGGAGGCAGTAGGTGAAGAAGGAGTTTGCGAAGAAGGTGAATCTTCTTGTGGACACCTCCTGGTCGACAGGGCTGGACTTGTGCTTCAAGTTTCCATCCGATTCCGAGGACATCACCGTCCCGAAACTGATATTCCACTTCGACGACGACACGATTTAGACCTCTCCGATCCGGCGAGACCTAAATAATTGCCGACAAGAGCTCTGAGGTACGTGGTTTGCTTGGCCAGGGGAAGCTCCGAAGCAAGTCCATATTTGGCAACGTGCAAGAGCGGATAGCCGAATATAACCCATCAAAGACCATGAGGCTTTTTGTTTTTTTTTTTTTATTTATTTTTTTTTTTTGTTTTTTTTTTTTTAAAAAGACCACGAGGCTATCCAATAGCTTCCATGTGAAAAAAAAAAAAAAGATTGTTCATAACCGGAGAGACGGTTAACATAGGAAAAATGTTAAGCGACTCTCATTTTTTACTTTTTACACTCAAAATTTAATATAAACACTATTTATGAGATTTACATAAAAATAAGTAGTTTATCAGTGTTCATCATGTCAAAAAATAAAATTTGTGGGAGTAGGTAGGAATTAGGAGGACATATAATAGAATTTATTAATTGACTGTTCTTACGCACTTCGTCTCAGGGCGGTGTTGACGAAGAGGTGTTGATCGAGTGTTTTTTTATTCTTAATATTTAAAATTAATAAAATAAATAAATAAAATAATTTATAAAATATTGACCACTAGTCCGCCATATATATAGTGATTTATCTGGAGGATTAATTTTGATCTAATTGCATATTTTTTGTAAATTTAGAGGGTTAATTGTATCATTTTGTTTTGAATGGTCTAATTATTACACTTTCTTTCCTGTATTGTTAATAACTAATTTGGACATTTTTTTTTCCAAAAAATGAAAAATAATAATAAATTTTAACAAAACCGTTGGTGGATGGATAGAATGTATCAATTTACTGGTAATTTATGGACTAAAAATATTGATACTTATAATATATGGCAAATTATAGAATGTATCAATTTACTGGTAATTTATGGACTAAAAATATTGATACTTATAATATATGGCAAATTATACCATGGACCAGGATTTACCTTACATTTTAAACTTCGATTCAAAAATAATTTTCAAATTCTGTACATGCAGTTAATTGTTTATGTACCTGTAAACAAATTGAAGGCATATCACATGGTCAAACATATAACATGATAACTACAAACGCATAAACTGTTAATTGCATGTACATATTATGTTAATTGCAGACACATAACATATTAATCAACTACCATGTAGTGTGATGACATCTCGGTTATCATTCTAAATGGATGGTTTTAGGTTCGAACTCCGGTGGTGGGGGCTTAGATTCTTTGGGCTGAAAATGTGTGAGAAAGTATAGAACAGATACTACCTTGTAAAGAAACATCTTATGTTATATGCATTTTTAATTTGTTTACATGTACAAAAATCTAAAAACATAATGGCCCTATTTGGTAAAAAAAAAAATTGTTTACATGTACACAAATCTAAAAACATAATTGCCCTATTTGGTAAAAAAAAAATTGGCCTATACGCCAATTTTGGCTTATTTGACCACTATTAATTGTTTGATTTAGTTAAAAAATCAATATAAATGTTTGGTTAATTAGCTTTTTGCAACTCCAAAAGGCTAAAATTCAAAAACTTACTCTAAGCAACTTTTTTCAATTAGCTTTTTGAGAAAAGAAATTATACCAAATAGCTATCAGGCACGGGGGAGGCTACATACAGCATTGTGTTGTTGTCTCCCGAAGGGTCCTTTTTTGCGGCAAAAAACGGAAGACTCCCGAATTGTTTGTCGTCATTTATGGCGGAGACTTTGGCATGTAAGGAGGCTATATCCTGGCTACTGGAGAAAAATACAACAACGGTCACCCTTCTCATAGACTGTATACAACTAAGGAATGCTATACGACAGGAATCAACCAATATAATGTCCTATGTTGGGGTCATAGTAGACCAATGTAGGAGTTTAATTTCTTCGTTTAATTATGTCTCGTTAAATTATATTTCTAGGCAGATTAATTCGCATGCGCATACGCTAGCTTCGTTAGCTTTTGTTCAGGATCAAGCTATGTATTGGGATTATATCCCCCTGACTGCATTGCAGCTTTGATTCATTAATACAATCATTCTTTGGTTGGTTTTCAAAAAAAAAAAAAAAAACAGCTAATTTACCAAACACTTTTCTACAATCAGCTAATGTTATCAACTATTTATATCCTCTAATTAACACAATCAGCTAACATCTAACAACCATTTTACCAAACATGGCCAATAAGTCTCAATCAAAGTTATATCCCCCATTTATGTCCACGTTTTTAATGCTAATCATTTTGTACATTGTGCTTTTAGAGTTGTACTATATATTTTTTTGACAAAAATACTCATACCGTTATAACTTCCGTTATCTTTTCTATTATTGTTACCATGCACATGCATCCACCATATATTTTCTTATATTCTTTAATAATAATAATAATAATAATTGTAAACATATATATTGAATTATTATAATAAATAAATTTGATTTCATATAGATTTTAATTAGTAGGGATTTGTTAATTATTTTAAAAAATATAAATATTGGGCATATGTTTTTGCACATCGTGCGCACAGACAAAACTAGTAAATATAATGACTGCAGACACATAGGGGTCGTTTACTTCATTTCTCTGTTTTTCCATTTCCAGTTTTCCATTTCTCCATTTCTCCAATTTTTCTTCTCCATTCTTCCAGTTTTCCATTTCTCCAATTTTTCTTCTCCATTCTTTCAGTTTTTCATTTCTCCAAATTTTCTTCTCTATTCTTTCAATTCCCCATTTCTCTAATTTTTCATTTGTCTAATTTTCTATTTATTAAGTACAATCATCTCATATATTATTTGTACATTTTTATAACAAAAATAATAACAACAACCATAATAATAATATTATTATTATTATGAAGAAGAGGCTAATAATAATAATAATAATAATAATAATAAAAACTGTAAAAGAAGCTAAAAAGCTGAAGCTAATAATAATAATAATTATTATTATTATATATTAATATAATAATTAGGCGCACAGCAAGGCCATTAGGCATTTAGGCGCACAGCAAGGCCGTTAGGTGAAACGGCTGAAGAGAAAAGAAAATTAAACCAAGGCGCACGCTTAGCAGGTTTCGAACTGGAGACCTTTTGTAAAGGTACTGTTCACGCGTGTTTTCCTCCATTCTTCCATTTGGAGAAGTCTGATTCTCCTTTCTCCAAAATTGTATAGAAAGTGGAAGAATGGAGATAGAGATTAAAATTGGAGACATAAATTTAGTAAACAAGTTTTCCAATTTTCCTTTTTCCACTTCTCCAATTTTCTATTTTTCCAGAAAATCCTCCATTTTTCCAAGTTAGTAAACGACCCCATAATTTTTGGATCAGAGTTCACTATGCAATATGAACCCTGTTCCATAGGTATATAGGCTAAGTTCATTATTTATCAAAAACTTAGGACCAAAGTACAAATTTCCCTCATTAGTTTCAAATATTTGTGAGAGCGACCCGCCATGAGCCCATGATTGGCAGTGTGTGGCTTGGTCTTTAAGTTAAACGCATAGAACAGAATGGTAGCAAGCATGGGAAGGAATGAATGAATGAATGAAAGAAAGAAAAAGTCTTTATTTTAATTCACATTTCCCATAATTCTCTCTCTGTAATCCATGCCGCCGTTCGTGTCAGATCCCAGACAAAACATAATCCCTCACCCATTTCACCTTTCCCTTACAGCTTCTATGTTCATATTATCTTTGCATCAGATATAATATTCCAATTCTTTTAATCAAGGTTCCATTGTTATCATATCACACCTTCTTTCATTTTCCTTTCTGTGTTATAATTTTTTTAAAAAACAAAAACTGCATCTCTGTGATCATTCTTATCATCTTTCTGATTAGGATTTGATTATTCCTGATTTTGTGGGCTGAGATACATTTGCAGGAGGTAAAAAAAATTTCTTTCTTTTTCAAATTTCTTTTATGTTTGTTAGGGTTGAAATGAAATGGTTGATTGGGTTTCTTGATGAGGTTTTTTTAAATAAGAAAGAAAATGTTATTATCATTATTGTGTTTTAAATTTATGATCTTTTAGTTTTCATTTTGGGATTGAGAAAATGTAAATAATGCATTTTTTCTTCTCTGTTGTGGATGGCTTAATGAATTTCTGAAGTGGGATTTGGAATAATTGAGCTTATGTTGAGGTTTTAAGTTGAATTCTCATTGTCTCAATTTCCATTTAATAATGGAGAATGTTTAATTTTATGAATGGTTTGATGGATTTTATGGAGTGGGGTTCCAAAAGTTTGAGGTTTATATTCTGGTTTTGGTTGTGTTTTCATTTTACAAATCAAAATGTTGAGGTTGAATGAATTTTGAGCTCTGTTTTGTCATTAGAATTGACAAAATTTGTGAAATTAAAGCTACAATTTTGGGGTTTTGTAGGGAGGGAAGTTTTCGGAATGAAAGCAATGGGGAAGCCTCTTGGGAGGAAGAACAGTAGTGTATTATCGAGGTCGAATAATGGGAGCTTCAAGCTCGGAAAAGCTGTCGTGGAGCGTTCTTATAGCTGCAAGGCATTCGATGAGGACACAGCGGTCTTCATCGACATGTCCCAAGAACTCAAGGAAGAAGGGAAGAAATTGTACCAAAGGCATGACTATGAGGGCGCAATGTTAAAATACGAGAAAGCCATCAAATTGCTCCCCAAGAACCATATCGATGTTGCTTTCTTGCGTACTAACTTAGCCTCTTGCTATATGCAAATGGGGATAGGGGAGTACCCGAAAGCAATAAACGAGTGCAATTTAGCTCTCGAAGTTACTCCCAAGTATAGCAAAGCTTTGCTGAAGAGGGCAAAGTGCTACGACTCTTTGAATAGGCTGGATTTAGCGTTGAGGGATGTGAACCATGTTTTGAGTATCGAGCCTAATAATTTGACTGCATTGGAGGTCTCCGAGCAAATCAAGAAGGAAATGGAGGAAAAAGGTCTAGTGCTTGAAGATAAAGAAATTGTTCAGGCTCCCGACTTTGTTGAGCCTCCAGACACTTCTTCGGCTAGCAAGGTAAGGGATAAAGTGAAAAAGAAGAAGACTCATCATAAACACGATAAGAAGAAAGTCGAGGATAATGTTGAATCGAAGGATAACGTTGAAGCGAAAAAGGTTGAGGAGGAGGAAGAAAAGAAGGCTGAAGATAAGGTGGTGGTAGATGAGAAAATAAGCATTAAGGAAGAAAAAACGGTGATGAAGACTGTGAAGATAGTTCTCGAGGAGGATATAAGATGGGCACAATTACCCGTTAACTGCAGTATCGGGCTGGTAAGGGATGCAGTTCTGAAACGATTTCCAAATATGGGAGGTATACTTATAAAGTATAAGGATCAAGAAGGCGACTTGGTTACAATCACAACAACTGCTGAGCTTAGGATGGCCGAGGCATCTCTCGATCCAAATAGTTCGTTAAAGCTGTTCATCAAAGAAGTTAGCCAGGATAGAGAGCCGGTTTATGAATGGAGCGAAGAGGAAAAACTGCATACAAAAAAGCAGAAAATAGCTAAAGTTACCGAGGAAGGTATCTTGGAAAAAGCCAGAGTAGTGGCGAGGGGGCCAATTTGTGTCGAGGACTGGATAGTACAGTTTGCACAGCTTTTCAAGAATCACGTTGGTTTCGAATGTGATTCGTATTTGGATATCCATGAGATCGGGATGAAGCTATACTCGGAAGCCATGGAGGATACCGTTACAGGTGAAAACGCCCAAGAGCTTTTCGAAATTGCCACAGCAAAGTTCCAAGAAATGGCAGCTTTAGCCTTGTTTAATTGGGGAAATGTTCACATGTCTAAGGCAAGGAAGCGAGTATACCTTACAGAAGACGGTTCAAAGGGTTCAATCTTGGAACAGGTTAAATCTGCATATGACTGGGCACAAAACGAATATGCAATGGCGGGTAAAAGGTATGAAGAAGCTGTAAAACTCAAGCCAGACTTCTACGAAGGGCTTCTTGCACTCGGACAACTACAACTCGAACAAGCAAAACTACGCTGGTATTACGTGATCGGGAGCGGGAACAAAGTCGATTTAGAGACCGCCCCATCCACCGAGGTCTTGGATATGTATAACAAGGCCGAGGACAACATGGAGAGAGGGCTGCAGATGTGGGAGGAGATGGAAGAACAGCGTCTCAATGGACTTTCCAAACACGAAGAACATAAATCTCTGTTGCGTAAAATGGGGTTGGATGGACTACTTAAAGATGTCATACCCGACGAAGCTGAAGAGCAAGCCTCAAACATGAGGTCTCAGATTTACCTCTTATGGGGTGCCTTACTCTACGAGCGTTCCGTTATGGAGTATAAATTGGGTTTACCAACATGGGAGGAGTGCTTAGAGGTTGCAGTCGAAAAGTTTGAACTCGCTGGAGCATCTCAAACCGATATAGCTGTCATGATAAAGAACCATAACTCTAATGATACGGCTTTGGAAGGTAAAATAACAACTATCTGCTGTTGAGCATATAACCATTAATGTGCAATCCAACTATCAGCTTAGGCTTTTATTTGGTATCAGAGCAGTTGAGATGGAGCACATGCTTCAATTTCTGCCAACAAAGTTTTCTTAATTAATTAGGTTATACTTTTATTTACCAGTTTACTATGATCTAATTCAGGGTTCAAGATTGACGAGATTGTACAAGCATGGAATGAAATGTATGATAGTAATAGGTGGCGGACTGGTACCCCTGCTTTCCGCCTAGAACCATTGTTTCGTCGGCAGATTCCTCAACTGCATACTGTGCTGGAGAATCTTTAAGTTATCACCATCGAGATCGATATTTCATTGGGGCATAGGATATTGGTACACCTTCATTTACTGCAGTGTGTGCTTGCCAGTTATAATAGGTATAGTACATTTCTCACTATCTTTTTATCTTTTTTTAAATTATTGAGAACATTACATGATGTAAGGCCAATTCATTTATCTTTATAGGGATGCACTCATGAAGTAATGCTAGTCAGGTAAGGATTCTAAAACATAATACCCGCCTCCCAGGACTCATGGCCTTTGAAATGCAATAATTATTTCAAAAATAAGAGAGAATATATGGGTTTATAAGGTCATGAGTTAGACTAACTGATTGATTGGATTCAATCTTTTAGTGTGGTTTGGTCCATTTGCATTATTTTCTTGCCATTTTGGATGTCTTTCTCTTTCAGTTCTATTCACTATGCTATAGCAGATTACCGGTACTAATGTACTATACACTTTGTTGCTTCAAATGCAAATTTCAGGTTACACAACCTTCTCACTTCTCACACATTTATGATCCTCCTCCCCAGGTTTGTCTAGTGGATTCATGTCAGCAAAGAAAAAAGCACGAAAGTTCGTTAGGTTCCAGAAATACAGCCTATTTATTTGGATATATATGATATGAAGCTGTTTATATCATTCAACTTTTCATTGGTACATGAAAAGTATTCTTGGCAGTCAGCAGAGATCACATAAAGAATCTGCATCAAATTCTTCACACAGTTTAGGTTCTGACTGTGGAAACTGGAAAGGGGAATGGCTTTGTAGAAGAAAAATGTATATTGCCATATTTTTTCTTTTTTATTTTCATATAGGTTGTGAGATTTGTTCAATCTTAATCATTATTGTTTGTTTTTAAACAGGTTGTGGTTTATTTTCACTTTGGCCTGTGTAAAAGAACTGACTTTTGTTTTTTTTTTTTTTTTTTAATTAATTTATTTATCTTAAATATTCATATAAGTTGAATTAAATTGAAATTGAGACTTCTTGTCTCATTGAGCATCTTATCTTGCTTACAATGTTAACAAAGTCTTTTACAATCGTGGCCGAGGTTAGAACATTCGTCATTCCTCCATTCTTCAGCAGTCTCATTGCACAGGCACACCACTCTACCAACCAGTTCGCCATTTATTTTCTTACCTTTAATTTAATTAATTGGATCAATGGATGCCATTGGAGAAGGAGAGAGAAAACCTAACGCTAGCTGATACGAAATACATGAAGATATAAAAGCTATACAGGATAACTTATGAGTTAAAACTTATGGAGTTTGATTTGATCATTTGAGTGATGTAATGGATTTATGGGTTATGGAGTTAGATTTATGAACTTATGTAGTTAAACCGTTGACCAAGGTAAACCCTTGACCAAAGGACTAGCCTACCAAAAAAAAAAAAAAAACCGAGCCCATGGCAGGAGGTCCGACCTCCAAATAGAGACCAATGCCCGGGCTTAGGTTGAGAATTGAAGCAAAGTCCACATGAGGCGAATCGAGCCGGGGGCTCGGCCTAGGCAAGTCGAGCTAGGGCTCGTCCAAGGCCAATCGAGCAAGGGCTTGGACACGGCTTCGTCTCCCCCCCCCCCCCCCCCCACCCCTCAGTGAGCAAGGGCTCGACAAAAAATATGGAAGGTGCATTGAGGTGGCAAAGCAGGAGACACAAGTTCAAGCAATGACGAGAAAAGTTAAATACTTCGTTCAACATCAAAATAGTTCCAAGTACACAACAAAGAGAGTTGCGGTGTGGTGGTTACTTACTCTCTTTCGCTGATGAATACTCACAACTCGGAGAGTGGGAAACTGGTGATGGATATAATGGAGATGGACGCAGAGCGAACTGACCCGATAGAGTGGAGCAAGATGGGTTCGTTTGGACCCAAGGCCCCGAGGTGGAGCCTTGCGTTGGACCTTAGCCGCCTAGGCCGAGCCCCGGGCTCGACCTATGTGATAGATATATTGGAGATGGATCCCGATCGAGCAAACCGACCCGGCAGAGCAGAGCAAGATAGGTTCGTTTGGACCCGGGGCAGCTCGACCTAGCCCTCGGTATGGGGCTCGCCTTGGGCCCCGGCCCAAGGTCTTGGCTTAGGGCTCAGCTTAGGCCCCAGCCCAAGGTCTCGACCTGAGGCTCGGCTTGGGCCTCGACCCAAGGTGCTACGGTTGCAAAACGGCGCCGTTTTGGTTAAAAAAACGCGCGTCCCACTTAAAGAAAAAATCAGGTTCGATTCCCAGCAATAGCAATTTTATATATCCAGAAATTCATAACTATATAACCACAATTTCATAACTATATATATCCACAATTTCATAACTATATATCCACAGTGAATGAATGAAGTAAAAATCCACAATGAATGAACTAAATATCACAATATATGATTGAACTAAATATCCACAATGAATGAACTAAATATCCATAAATTCATAACTATATAACCACAATTTCATAACTATATATCCACAATTTCATAACTATATATCCACAGTGAATGAATGAAGTAAAAATCCCCAATGAATGAATGAATGAAGTAAAAATCCACAATGAATGAACTAAATATCCACAATATATGATTGAACTAAATATCCACAATGAATGAACTAAATATCCATAAATTCATAACTATATAACCACAATTTCATAACTATATATCCACAATTTCATAACTATATATCCACAATAATGCTATTGCTGAGAGTCGAACCTGATTTTTTTTTTTTAAAGTGAGACGCGCGTTTTTAATCAAGACGACGTCGTTTTGAACCGTATGCACCATGCGCATGGTACATTCGGTTGCACAGCATAACTATTGCCCCCCCCCCCCCCCCCGCCCCCTCCCCCCCAAAAAAAAAAAAAAAAAAAAAAATTTATACATATGTTTTAATGTGACTTCATATATTTTATGTTAATTAATTGCATCAGCATTTTTTTTAATAAAAAAGTATATATATAATATATGGACGTTATGAATTGCGTACTGATAGGAGACATGCATGCATTGGCAATGGGATGTATTAAGGTTTACATTTTGACTTTGAAACTTTCTACACCTACTACTCCTAGAATATTACTTCATCGGGAGAAGAATATTACTTCATTCAGCATTGGTATACTAGTATGATTAAAATAATGATAACATTTCAGATCTTTGGTATCTAACTTCTTGGAAATAGTCTCAGTTGTTAACTTAAAGGTTGGGGGTTCGATCTTAGACTATACAACATTAATGGGGTGTTTGGTAGGATGGAATTGCAACTCCCTAGGAATTGCAATTCCATACTTTGTGGGATTGTAATTCCATTGTAAATTACCACTTTACCCTCATTATTATATAAGGGCATTTTAGTATTTATTCACTTCTTCCCTCTCAATTCCCCATCGTTCTATTCATTTCTACCAAACAATGTAATTTAAATTTTCACTTTATTCTTTTCCCACAGAATTACAATTCATTTCCCCTCTAATTCCCTGCTTCCAACCAAACGCCCTATAAAATTTTTATTATAATATAAATAATATAAATTTAAAAAATAATAATAAAAAACGGACTGCCGTGCTGACCCGTTTAGCCCGTCCTACACGGTCTGAGTTGGGAAAATCCAAACCTCGCAAACGGGTCGGCCCGACCTAACCCGTTTCATGTTCAACCCGAGACGGGTCAGCCCGTATGGGCTAAGCTTGCCCGTTTTGACAGCTCTAGTAACTTGGTTTAATCAACAAGCAAATAAAGTATGCCCATAGTATACTTTAAAGAAAATTTGTCATTTTTATATTTATAATTCAATTGATGTTTATGATTATCAACATAATTTAAATTATGTATTTTATTTAAATTATAGTTTTTAAAAGATATGTTAGAAATTGCATTTTTCTTGATATAGTATGTTGTCACATTGAAACAACAAAATAGAAAATTCATTTAGTTACCTACTGTTTTCAAAATGGTGGGGGAGGGGGGCAACTGCCCCCGACTCCGTCTCTGTATATATATCTCTCTGTAAATCAATCATACTTCCTCGACTATTCTTACCCTAAAAGGTTGAATCCCCAATCTTAAGGGCCCCCACTCGACTATTCTTACCCTAAAAGGTTGAATCCCCAATCTTAAGGGCCCCCACACTCCGACCCGACAGAGCATGTAGGAAGATGTAAATCACGGTGACTCAATAGGTTAGTAGACAGAATCAAATGCAGCTTCCTCGACTATTCTTAAACTGACCGATCGTGGACAATATATACTACATTTAATTTACACCATTACAAATCTCTTTATCTCATCTTCTCTATATCATAACTTATTGTACACATGGATAATATATACTACATTTACTTTACACCATCACACATTTAACATTTATATCAGGGATTTTAAAAAAAGATTTATATTAGGTGATGACATAATCAAGGACGGAGCCAGAAATTTCATGAAGTGAGGACGAATGATATATTTTGGAAAAAATAATTAATAATCAAGCAAGGAGATTCAACCTCTTTACCTCTACTACAACACATACATACTTAACTATCTAAACATTTTATCTTTGAGCAACATATATATATATATATATATATATATATATATATATATATAAGGGGTGAGGTGTGGTGGGAGAGGGGGGCAGCTGCCCTCACTGTCTCCATACTGACTTCGCCCATGCTTCCAAGATTAAGAAATTAACAAAATAACCTATCTTAATCTAAATTAGTTTTAATTAAAAATACGCCAAATACAAATATTATACTAACATTCCTTAGCCTCTTTGGTTTTTAATTACTTAATTAGAGTTTGTATTCTTTTTATACTTGGGGAAATGACATTACTCTTTAACCTAAGCCTTGCCGATATGATGATGTTGGCTCCATGCTCAGCTTGAGGTGATACATGAACATGTTCCCTTGCATATGTTAGTTGGATCGGAGATTGGATTCCTAAGAAATACCACTCCGATATTATTTGGTGATTGAGAATATGAAGGATCAAAACCAAGCTCAATTCTATCCCTTAATGGATTTTTTAATTTTAACAATGTCTCCATTAATTTGGAGCTATCGCCGACCAGCATACATGTTAATAGGCTCTCTAAGCTTCTCTTCCCT